CTTTTTATATTTAGAATTTGTCTATTTACTCTTAAGGAACAAGAATTCTGAAAAGTTTCTAAAATTTGGCAAGATTTTAACCGGTAAATTAATAATGTGATCATTGGAGTTTAGTCGACCACCATATCTTATATGTTTTCAATGGTCAAGATTACTTTTGGCATGCTCTTTTATAGTTATATACCGGAATTTGAGCTAAGGACATAAAGTAGAATACACACTAAAAATTCAACCATCGATAAATATTTTGGATCAGAGAAATGAGAATTTTGCTAGATTTGCCATCGTAGATAGAATTATTCAAGGGCAAAAAAAGAAAAAAAAAAAAAAGACAAATGCGAAAAATAGAATGCTTTTCTAGTATGTTAACTGTCTACAAGATGCCACGATGTTAAACTAGACAACGTTGACTTGGATTAAAAAAACAAATTTAAAATATAATCTATGCACTATAATTAATATTACGTATCAAAAAAGTCTTCGACTCTAACGAAAACTGTAAAATCAAAATAAATAGTATATACTTACATTGAACTTGTAACGACGAATCCCACATTCCACCATTGCCGTCGGCCACAATAAACAAGTTACTAGCAGCAACATCCGAACCCATGCGCCCATCTTCCTCTCTCTCAAATATGTTTCCTTATTGTCACTTTTTCAATGTAATATAATGACCTTTTAAAGGAGTAGCTCCATTTTGGGTCGTTCAAATAATAAATATATCTGTTTTGGTGAACAAAAGATACTTACCAAAGAAGATGCACGTGCGAAAATGACCCAAAACTCACTTAGTACAGACCATATAATTACACAATATTTAAAAGTATGCACTTGTATGAAAAAGTTACTAAAAAGTTGAGGTAAAAGTCAACAAATAATTTTAATCAAACATATTCGAATGGTGATTGGGGAAGAGCCCTATTTGAAATTCCGATTCAAGTTATAGTACTTCTTCAGAGCTTATGTCGTTGAAAGAAAGCAAAGATATAAAATCAGAAGCGTATTTAAGTCAATCTACTGGAATCATCATAGCGGTCGTTGCTTTTGGTAATCTTGCTTTTTGGCCGACTCCTCTTCACTTTCTTACAAATTAGAAGGAATAAAGAAGAAGTCTCTCATCTGAGAAACCAAGCCAAACCTTTTCAGTCGAATTATCTATGTACCAAACTCCACGGAGTAGTAATTACTTTCCAAAGGCAAAACACAAAATAGAAAGAGAAGCAATTTAGAAGCAGTTTGTCAAGATCAACTTTTTAACCACATGTTTCATTAACTTTTATCAAAATTTACTAAAACTATTATAAAAAAAAAAAAAAAAAAAAAAAAAAAAAATCGTCAAACAACCCCAAAGTTTGGTTTACATGATTGAAATTTGAAAGGGTTAAATAATAGAATGTACAAAATAAGTTTTTTTTTTTCAATATTATATTTACAGTTTGATTACAAGCCATTAATTGAAATTACACGCTAAATTCGGTCCAATCTACTTAAACTTGGATTAAGTCAATACTTAATTAGGTTGGTCCAACTACAGTTGTTTTATTAATGCAAATCCTTGGCAAACAAGTCCTTTGCAGAATCTTTTTATTTATGCTAAAATAAAAAAAAAGGTCAATTTAAAAGCTTATATATTTAAAAAGTACTCGTTTTTAATTAATTCATTTTGTTTCCAAATAAACCATTTAAATTAATTAAACTTGGGAGAATTGCTTTTAACAGTAAGTTCACCACTGGATGACACAATTATAATCACAAATATGAATTTAATATGGTCGATAGTAGTTGCTAATAATGAAATTACAGTAAATATTTTAATAAATCTATCTATAAAAACGGTGAAAAATATTTGTATAGTCTGTTCAAATTTAATAAGAATAAAATTTTATTTTATTTTATTTTTATTTAGGCTGAAAAATATCTTAAAGTAATTAATTGCAAAACGAAAGCAAAGTCTTGTCTGACCATAAATAAATAGAAGAAAGCATTTTAGTCCGAAGAACAAGAAATTACGTGTAAGTTAATCACAGGCCAATGGATTGTTAAATGGATGAAAACAATATTTAGAAAAAATTAAAAAATAAAGTTTCAGTGAGCTGTCTTATGTCTGGAATTTATACTTCGAGAAGGTGGAGGGTGAAGCTGAATTGCCGAGTGGGACAAAAAAATGGATTCAGTTGGCAGATGCCTTTCAATTTTCATGGATTCTTAAAGAGTTTTCTGTCCGAAACGACAAGAAAATATAAGTAGTGGCTAACAGCTCATTTTTCAGTTTGAGAGGCAATAGAAATTAGTTGCTTAAGAATAGCTTGTTAAGGGCCTGTCTGTTTCCGCCTTTACCCTGATTTTGAGTGTTTTTCTGCTCGTTGCCTGTCGTATTTTGTTAACTTCCTTCTCACACTTCTCTTTGACAACGATTCAAAAACGTGCTATTAATTTTGACAAAAAGCTTTGCCAGACAAGTGCTAAGTGTTTGTTTGGAAATTGTGATAGCTTAAAAGTTGTTAAAAAGTTGGAAATTGAATGAACCAACCTTGATGACACTCCTCTTGAATGGAATAAAAACACGAAGTTTTGAATAGCTTGGACATAATTTTGCTTAGAAATAGTTTGGATAGAATATTGGAGAGGAGAATATGGAAATCAATATAATTGAATGGGTGGTTATATTGATACTGTACCACATTTTCTTTTTCTTTCTTTCTTTCCTTTTTTTTTTCACCACTTTTTAATTGCATTAAATGCTCTCAAACTTTTTTACTATAAAACTTATATCTCTACCTTTTTCCCTGTTGCATTCTTATCTATAATTTTCTTATTAATTAAAACATCTGGTCCGTGTGTTAGTTACTATCCAAATATCCTACTCGCGTGCTTTAAAATGAGAACATTATGTCACACTTTTATATTTGTTATATTTTCCTTATATTATAAATAAAATGACAAATAATTCTTTTTATGCAATTTCAATGATTTTCTTTCTCCTTTTTTTTGTTTTTTGGAGAGAAATCATCACCTAGGACAAGATGTGATAATTAGTGGATATATGATAATAAGATTATGACCAAAAACAATTATGGACATAATTACAATAAATAGCAAAGGTTGGGGGACCTTTAGTATAATTAAAAGTAGTGTAACTAATAAAAAAATTATGATGTCGATATAATTACCACAATTGAATTGATTTGGGATGATTAAAATGGAATTAAATGGTTTCTAAATATTTATAATTATGTCAATTATGAACGATTGCATCTTTCGGCATAGATTCGTTTGGACCATTAGATCACACAATTTCAGATGGAAATATGATATATATGGTGGTCGATGTCGCGACATATCAAAATGTTATGACTCTTTATTATGCAACTTTGCACTTGAAGAGTCATATCCAATCATTATGCTTATTGAAGTTTCAATTTACACATTAAATATAAAATAACTCGTAAATTTCAACAATCCCCCACATGAATAACAGAAATTGACCCGATCCAAGGAAGACTACGAAGAAGTACCATAGATAACGTATCAAGATAGGTAATTTTCACTTTGAGCTTTACTTAAAATCTACGACTCACTTAGCTAACTAGTAAACACAACATTTTGAATTGAGTTCATGATCTGGCACCCGGAAAATGGTCTATTTTATGTCTTGAAATGTCAGTTATATCATTTTTTATTTATAAAAATTGTACATGCTATTTAATGGACGCGCCCCTTTTAAGGCAACTCTTGACGTAGAATCATTGGAAGATAGAGAGAGAGAAAAAGGTTAATCATTCGACGCCACATCAATGTTGGTACAAATTTTGTCAATATTTTTCTACACTCATGATTTTTTTCTTCAAGAAAAGAGTCATTTAGATGCACAAGTTTTGAAACAAATCTTAAAAGCTTTCAAAAGAAGAGTCATTTCGTGAAATAGTTTCAATAGTCTTGTTTAGTCGAACACAAGATAGTTGAAGATGTCTTCCCTCTTTTGATGTAACTATCAAAATATTATATGTACATTCTATAATAACAACTCGTTTTTAGAATTTACAATTTTAACTATTCGAGAAACATGTCTTTGGTTCATGTTTAAAGATTATTTATTAGAGTTTTGCTATTTTACCAGGGCAGAACCCTTAAAGACACTCACACCAGGTGGTCCGCATGGGACACACCAATATAAAAATTACCCAAAAAACCCATCGACGCCCCTGTTCTGAGTATTCTGTAGGGGTTCCTATAACTCAAGCTCAACTCTATTTATTAATACTTAAATCAATTTTTTTTTTACGAGTTTCGATAGCTCCAAAATTACTACTCACTTATCCATAATTTATTTTTGTATATTTAATATTTAGCCCTTGTTTGAGCCACATTATATTCCTAGCCCTTGTTTGTTTTCCATTATTTCTTCATTAAAATGAAATATATGATCGTTATCCATCACATCAAATCACCAAATTTGAATTTCGATCTCTTGTGTGGGACCCATAACAACTATAATTTTCATTTTCATTCTATGTTAGAAAAAAAAAATTTGATTAAAACAACTTTTTGCTAGTTAAGATTTTTTTTATGGTAAAATTACATCTTTGTTTAAATTTCCATAAAACAATATTATACATAAATTAAAAAAATTTCATTCTTTTTAACCAAATTTTCTAAAAAATCATTATTCCAAAACATATTTTTACTATAAACTAAATTTTAATGGAACCCAAAACGGGGGTTAAAACTCTTTTGACTAAAATCAATTCGTAGAACTCATTTGATCAATATGTTGATCAAATGACTTCAATTCTGGTATAATATTTAGTGGAAACTTATTTTTAATCACACGTTTTGTAGAACTCATAATTATTATTATCATTTTATTTACATATTTTGTCAAATTTTATCAAAATTTGCTATATAGTTGATTTTTAGCTAAACCAAGCATTGTATTTCAAGTTTCTCTAAGCTAAACAAAATTCACATTAAATTGACATTTTTTTTCTATTTTCTAGCTTTTTTGTATTTCGATGAATTATATTCTCACATAATTTAATTTAAGAGGTGGTAGTGACTTCACCTTATATTCCATTCCTTGGATCTTGGAAGGTATATGCATCCGTCTTGATCAAATTAATTTTCCAGCTTAAAAAAATTCAATAATGCACACAAGTGGATCATTAGGTAGATAGTCTACTTTCCCATAGCTGTGGGCAAAAGCTGTATTTGCATTATACCAAAGTATAGCCTATGATATTTCGAAAATACATTAAATACTTTAAAATAGACTGAATTTATAATAAATCTATAAAAAATCGTTGTATTGTTAATAGTGGTGTGAAATTGTTTTTTGCTTTATTTATTACCTATGAACAAATAATATATAGCATTTCAAAATGGAAAAATAACTTTAAAAAAAAATCTTAAATAGCAAATCAAAAGTTTCTACGTAGATTAGACACGAAGACATTGAGATGCCCCAATCATTAATCCCGGATTCATTGTAGCTGTTATGGGTTCAAAATATTACCTCTCATGTCAAATTTGGTTCTCTATTATGTTCATTATTTTGACCATGAACGCTATTGAGTTCAGTGAATATGTTACATTCTTCGCCTATGTAAAATT